GCGCGTTTGGGAGGAATTCTCATATCAGCTTGATGTTGTCCCTGCTGCCGGTGGTGGCCACATTGAGCACTTATAAAACATGAAATGAAACTTGAATGTATATATATAACACATGTGTTCATGCTAGAGGTTTGTAATTTTTTTCGTTTTTGACATATCACGTGATGATTTTGGCGTATTCTTTTTGAAACACCCTTTATTTTGCAGTCTTTGAGGGGGTTTCATCATTCAATCTTCTTATGACTTGGCAGCTTTCTGGGGTGGGGGGGATGAACTGGTCTAATTTATTTAAGTTATTCCCGTTACGTTAATTTTGTATGGATCAAAACTCAGTCTTAATGCGAATGTGTAAGACCAGTCAAGGACCTCAGATGTGGTAGGATATCTCAAACTTTTTTTTTTTTTTAAATTTCTCTCGGTTCTGCATAGAAAGGTGAGGTCTTGGGTTGTCCGGATTGAAGACGACCCGCTACCGATTGTCCATTTCCCGGGAACTGTCGGTAGGTCACCTAGGAGAGAGTACTTGCCTGAATTCCTTTCTATAGGATACGTATGTTCATTATGAATTTAATATTCGTAATCCACATGGAAATAGGATCGAAAGACTCAGAAAAAAGGTATTTTTCAGAATATTTATAAGTTCTCGTGTGAAACGAAACCACGAGTTCAAATTCACCTTTTACAATACGCTAACAACTTTTTTGAATGCAAACATTTTATTACCCCCTTCATAAGCGACCATTTGGACACCTCACTGGGTGCCCCATTCTTTCGGCCTTGTGCCACATCTAAGCTACGCTAAGAAAACCATTTGTGCACCTTGACGGAGTGTAATAGTTAGCAAGCTTTCTCGCTCGAACAATTACGACTGAGTAGTGTGTTCGATACTCACCTGGTAACCCATACTTTCGGCCTCGTTTAGAAAATCATTTGTCCACCTCGGAGTGGCGTAATGGTTAGTAAGATTTGCTAGAAGAATTACGACTGAGTAGTGACATCGATCCTCACTGGGCGCTCCAAAGTTTTAGCCTTAGAAAATCATCATAAGCTGCCATTTTATGGAAAAGCTAATCAATATAATGATTTTAATCGCCCTATTTTATTTTCGTGGTTTCATAACCTGGCGGTTTATGAAAATTTGTAATAATAATCGAGCTATCAATAAATCTTTGTATCCCATCGACTTAAAGACAAGGACTTTCGAATATTATTGGCTCGATGAAAATCATAAAAAAGATCCTTAATATTAATAGGAAAAAGAATAGATTTTTTTCTGTTATCATTCCAACTATTATTTTCCGCACGTTTGATTATCCTTCATGTCAAAGCAGACAACTGAAAATTGAGCAATTTTTTTTTTTTATATTGAAACGATGGTCTGAAACAATTCTTGTTTTCGTCTGATGTATTTAAGCTTCAATCCATTTAGTCGGACGCATTTTCAATGATCATAGTTTCTTTAAGAAAAACAAACCAGGAAAAAAAATCGGTAAAACAATTCATCTTTGTCCTTGCACAAACATCCGCAGGCCATTGGTCAACTTGAACAGAGGTTCTTTATCAATCCCTTCAACATTGTGCATTGAGAAAGAAAATGGAACAAAATCCCACTGGCCATACGCGGATATTTTTTTTCTTTTTGTTTAATATATTTCAATTGTTTTAATTGTCTTTTTTCTCATATTCATAAAAATGACACAATCGACCCATACAGACACACGCACACACACATATATTGCATATATATATATATATATATATATATATAGCTCTCAATATCAGGGAGAGCTAACATTTAGTTGGATAGTTGGATTACTGTGAGTTTGCGATCAAGGGTTTGACGCCCTTGCGAATGTCAGAAAACACACAAACACACACACACACACACACACACACACACACACACATATATATATATATATATATATATATATATATATATATAGGTACCTCCACGAAATGTAAACAAAAAGAGCATAGCATGATGAAAAAAGACGCCGAACTTGACGAAAACAAAATTTTATCGTCTAATGTTCATATTATTATTAAAGAGGAAAGATCAAAGTATTTTTGGGTTATTGTTTTTACATTTTTTAATCGTTCCTATGACGTCTGAAATTTTCGTTAAAAATATTGTTTATCTTTGTCAAAAAAATGGACAGATAATCCATCATTTTCAATCATTTTTTTCCATTTTATAAAAAAAGATGAAAATCTGATTTTGATATTCTTTTAAAAATCAATTATCATTTTTTAAAACTTATTTTAATAGAATCAGAAATTATAATGTTTTTTTTAAAATATTTTGAACCAAGCTTAACTTAGCCTCTGTGCCGAAGAAATGTAATTTGAAAATAAAACAAAGCAGATCATAACCTTTCGCGTCATTTGACAGATGACGAAAGACAAATTCATGACGTTTAGATAACTTACGGTAGGATAATTCTTTCTACGGATGGAAGCAAGTGAAATTATTTAGATTTAAGTGAACAAATTATTTACCTCGTTACTTTTAAGGAAAACTTTCAGCGCTCTAATTTTTTTTTTTTTTTTTTTGTACTTTGGATAGTTGCGTCATGGAATGTTTAATAGCACGGATAGCAGTGTTACAATTCCACTTGGGTTCGTTATGTTTACTTACGCGCAAATGCTGTCGGAAAAGATATGAATCCACCTCTTCTCCCCCAGCTATGGATTAATTAGTAAGACTCGTACCATTAAATCATTATTATTTTCAAAAATAAAATAAAATTGTGTACGAAATATTTACATTTCGACATTAAATAAGCCACAAATGTTTGATATGCCACTAAAAAATAAAACCAACTGACACATACATATACACGGTGCGATGGGTTAATTGTCGCCATTTTATATGTTTAATTTCACGCATGCGCGTTGTTTGTTTTTGATTAACAGTATAATAGACTCAGTTGGGTACTGTCTGTGAAAAAATGAGTACCATCATGCAATTCAATCCACCAGAAATTTGGAAACGTCATGCTGTACTGAAGCCGGACGCTCTGATACGAACATTTCAGGGTGTTTTGGTGTCAATCTGACATCAGTGCAGAGTATTTGGAAAGAGTTGGATAAATCTAATGAAAATTACGAAAGTAGAGCAGCTCGTAAATCTCACTCTTAACCGTTCTGATAATAATAAAAAAAAACACCCGAATTTGTTCGCAAGGGCCACAGACTCAGTATGGAGGCCTACATCAAATGTGTTGAGGAGGTAGTGCTCTCCTGGATCAAGAGGGTAGCTGCTGGAAAACCCCATGTCTGGCAACAGGACTGTGTACTATGCCACACAAGCAGGAAAAACTAGTCGTGGCTGTCAGACAATTTCCGCGACCAGATCATCCCTTGCATCTGGACAGTTAACTCCCCAGACAGCACCCCGCTTGATTATTTTCGGTGTCCAAAACGGACTAAAACGGGTTAAAATAGCTTGTTAATTTTAAAGCTACCAAAACTAAACATCTCTCCATTAATCAATTCCTTTCATTTTCTGCTTATTATTAATGTTTATGTTCTTAATTCTTCCACACCCCGTAACCCCTTGTGGCATTTCTGTCTTATTTGGGGTGGTTCCGATTAAAAAATAATAATAATGAATTTAAGTTTTATTTGATAACTGATTACTCACTTTAGCAAAACATCTATTATCGAAATAATCTGAAATGTATTTCGACGCTAAAACCATTTCCAGTTAATTTTAAAAATCTTTTCAGCTTTCTTTCTGTCAATATGACAGTAGTCGTAGGTATTAGACAACTTTTTCTTTTTTTTTACAATTATAAACTTTATTTACAAAAGAAAGTTAAAATTTATTGAAACAAAACAAGTTCAGTTGACCACTGATGACAATTCCAGAACAACGTAAATATAAACAATTTTTTTGCTATCCTCTGCCAGCTGCAATGATGAAGAAAGCATTACCTCGAACCAACGCCAATAAGACACGCTGCAAGAGCCATTCCGTTTCGCGAGGCTCGTCCCTTAATCGAGACGCAATCGAGCCAATCCTTCAAAGAAACACCATCGAACGAGGGTCAATAACCCCTGAAGTCTCCACTGCCACAGGAGTAAAAAAAAAAAAAATCTATCAGCAAGAGAAGAATATTTAACAATTTTTTTGTTTTCATCTCTACGTCCCGGGCGATGGATCCTGGCTCAACCGCAGATCTGATCAAATTACCGGCCGAAAATGTATCCGCACAGGTCGCATCCCAAATCAACAACTTCCCCATTTTAAAAGGGAAAATGGTAATGACATCCGGCCGTTTTCCATCACCACGATCGAGGGCTACGGGTTCGATTTGGGAAGTGAACCCAGCTGCATCCAAACCTCTTTTGATGATGTCGTTAATGGCTGCATGCCGTGGAAAGCGGCCGGCACTACGACGAGAGGAGAGAAGATGCAAACCAAACGCATCGCTGGAGGCTCCACATCTGCATCTGCGACGCTCACACCATTTGAGTCCAAGACGGATCCCGACTCCGATTCGAGTGCACTCGTCATCTTATCATCTAGAGGTTTTATTGCATTTCTTGTTCTTGAACCATACGCATATGAATGCGTGTGGGAACTCCAGATAAAATTACTGTGTCACATCTTGCCTTAGCAAAACATGTAATCATTTGAGTCAATGAAAGATTTGACTTATTTCTTTCATAACCCCCAGCCGTGATATTTAATGGGACATATAAACAGGAACACGGCATCCACAATAGAAAAAATAGTTTATTCCAAGTACTTAAAGGAGATTAAAGCGATAATCATGTTTAGAGGCGGGGGGTGGGTCAAATATTAAATTCACGGGTCTTTATTCGCCAAACATATTTGATTTATTCATCAGAGATTTAATAAGATTTCTAACACGTAATATCAGACGCAAAGGGATGAAAATGCAGAAATAATAAAGAGCATATGATGATCGAGTCGACGCCATATTTGTGTCTGGTTTCCCATAGGTCTAATGATTTGGTGGAATATAATGTGTTTTCCTTACCAGCAATTTCATCTATCTATCTATCTATCTATCTATCTATCTATCTATCTATCTATCTATCTATCTATCAAGTTCTTTTGTCAAATCAATCTAACTATCGAGTTCTTTTGTCAAATCTATCTATCTATCTATCTATTTTGTATTTTCATATAAAATTACATGTCTTATATTTATACAGGGTGTATCAAAAATACGTTTATAAACATTGGGGGGGATTCCTCACATCAAAACAAGGGCAAAAATTCATATAATCCTATATCGGCAAATCCTTCTTTTTTGAGTCATTAGATTTAAATAACGTTTACGGTAGATCTCGCTATGTTGCCGTATAGACTAGGTTACATTTGTCATTCGTGTACATTTGTGGCTAGTCTGTCTTCAACGTTTAACGAGTTAACTGAGAAGTATTCCGTTTAACAATTGCTGGATATATATATATATATATATATATATATATATATATATATATTTTACATACGGCCGCGCGAATGGTAATGGAAGCGAAGCTACGCGGCCGTATCAGATTGAGTTTCCAAACCGAAGTCATTCGAGTCATCCAACCTTTGAGGTTGTTTATCGTCGCGTTGCTAAGACAGGATCTGTGGCACTACAAGCTATGGATCGAAGAAGATCGAGATCCGCTCGTACACCTGACCACGAAGAACATGTTCTAGAGGCTGTCGGGGACGATCCAGCTATCAAAACATCTCAAGTGGCCTTACATGTCGTACATCTCATAGTACCACATGTAGGGTACGTCAAGAGCAGCTCCTGTATCCGTATCATTTGCAACGTGTGCGGAGCTTTTCGCCTCCTAATCACACACCACAGGAGAACTTTTTCCGGTGTTTTATTGCACAAAATACCGATCCGTTGTTTGTCTCTTCAGTCCTATTTATAGATGAGGCAACATTTGGAAGAGATGAAATAACAAATTTACACAACCAATGTTTGTGGGCAGATCGTAACCCCCATGGTACAATACAGGCTGGACACCAGCATCAGTTTACGATTATTGCATGGACTAGAATTGTAGGTGCCTGGTAGGTCCATATCTTTTCATAACACGTCTTACAGGAGCTGTCTACAGGTAATCCATTTCGAACACACTTCCAGGCCTGCTAGAGGATGTATCCCTGCTAATATAAAGATGCATATGGTTTATACATGATGGGGCTGCAGCACATTTTATTCTTACTGTTCGCGATACAGTGGCTGGCATCTACAATGAATGAGGGATAGGTAGGACAATAATAATGTTTCATCAACATCTCGTGGTGGCCTGCGAAGAACTTTCGAGACAGAAGAAAATGGAATGTTATTTAAAGACGTGAAAGATGCGCTCGAGCGAATTTTTTTCACTATCGGTTCGTACGACCGGTGAGATATGACGCTGAGGCAGGGGCTATACGCATGCGCCAGGCACAATCAATGGGGGACATAGTTACGTACGCACCTATTTAGAAATATGCACACACAACGAGCACAATTACAAATACATAGAGACACACTCAAATAGCTAGCTACATACCTGGGGTGCAGAATTATTTTCAACTCGGAACTAATTTCAACTCGTAACTAATTTAGCTCAGTTTTGCAAGAATAAAGAATGAGAATTGCAGAAAAGATGAATTCTCAATGATCTTATCTTCTAAGAATTTTTAATGCTAAATTAAAAAAAATAACACCAACTCACTGCATTTTGTTTAGGAAACCTCAGAAATTGATAACTTTGTTTTTAAATCGAGTAGGGATTAGTTTCGAGTTGAAATTAGTTCCTCATGCAACACAAGCAGGAGAACCCAGTCATGGCTGTCAGACAATTTCTGCGACTAAATCGCCCCTTAGATCTGGCCAACTAACACTCCAGACTGCACCTCCCTTGTGGGGCGCAGTTGAGCGAGAGTCCACCAAAACTCCTTGTAACACCAAAGATGAACTGAGGGCAAGGGTTTATGGCGGCATTCATCAATTTAAACAAGGAGACCGTCTACTTGACATTCAGGAAATTCAGATGTCGTCTAGAGGCCGCGGTTGAAACCAATGCCGATTTTATGGAATACATTTTCTCTTTGCTATTTCAAGATATTTTTGTGTAATCTTGGTAAATATATCGAGATGTCACTGTTATTTTCATTTTTTGAGTAACTTACACGACAATTTATCCATCGCACGCTGTATTTACATTGAAATGTCATTCTGATGTATTCAGTTATAAAAAAAAAACATCAGACAACTTGATTACTCAATCTTGGCCAAATTTTAAGCTACCAGGGTACTGTTCGTTTTATATATATATATATATATATATATATATATATATATATATATATATATATATATATGTTGTGTATGATACACCTAATTTACATAAGTGGAGTACCGACCATATAAATATGGGTTGGTACCGGAAGACGACGGAAGATAAAGAGATCGAATCCAGAGACTCTGCCCGTCTGCGACTTAGTCAACCCATTCTGCAGGAACAGTCTTCCCAAGAATATACCAAAACTACCTGTAAATATTGTGCACCTTTTTTCATTGTTTCAATACATTTTGTTACGTACATTTTGTGTTGTATTATTATTATTCCATGCTTATTCAAGCTTCAACAATATATATATATATATATATATATATATATATATATATATAGAGAGAGAGAGAGAGAGAGAGATAGATAGATAGATAGATAGATAGATAGATAGATATTCAATGGCTTTTTAGTTTCGAGTTGAAATTAGTTCATCATGCAACACAAGCAGGAGAACCCATTCATGTCTGTCAGACAATTTCTGCGACTATCTCACCCCTTACCTCTGGCTAACTAATTCCCCAGACTGCACGTCCCTTGATTATTATGTTTGAGGCGCAGTTGAATGAGAGACCAACAAAATGCCAATGATGACCTGAAGGCAAGAATTTATGGCAGCGTTCACCAATTTAAATAAGGAGACGGTCCAGAAGATTTACAAAAGATTCCGAAGCAGTCTGGTGGCCAATGACGATTTTATTAAATAAAATTCACTCTTTAGTATTTCAAGATATTTTTGTGCAATTTTGTTAAATTGTGACACTATTTTTGGTTGCGTGAAAAAAAAAGCGAGAATCAATTTAGGTGATAAGAAGCTATCACGAAAAGACACTGAGCGATGTTGTTTTTTTCTAACAAAGAAAAGTTGTAAAGATTTTATTTTCATTTGCGAAAAGAAAAAGTATTCTTTTTCTCACGCAGAAGATAGGAGATTCGTAAGATACTGCATCTGTCGAATTAATTCATTTTACGGCGAAAGAAGATAGCAATCTGTCCATGGCAATAATGAAAATTTCAAATTGGTCAAGTGGCCTACAGGACAGAGTGCTAAGAGATAATATTAATTAGGTCATGCACTGACCGAGAAAAATGTCCGCTGGACCACCCACAAGTTACAAAGAAGGAAAGATTAAACCATTAACTATCTGCGGAGATATCATTTAGAAAAACACCTGTTTTATGTCAGAGCTGGCAATGATAGAAGAATTATTTTATCGGAACAGATAATTGGCGACAGGGTGCGGAAAATCATTGACCAACCTCAATGATTGTTTGACGAAGATCTCGTTGACGAACTCCAGATGAAATTCGGTTAAGATAGAGATTTGGGACCATCCTACGAGTCGTGAGAGGTCTGCTCGTGGAAATGAAAGAAAAAGAAAAAAAAGGAAAGAAGTTATTTTTTTTCCTTTGAGAGATAATTGCAAACACCTACGCTGCTGAGCGTTCATTGGCTGAAGGGTGGCGTGAGCGGTAGGCGAAGGTAAACTATGAAGAAGGCGGGGAGGCCTTTTGACGCCCCCTGAAGGGATTGGTGTGAGATGCCACTGTGAGAGAGAGGGGAACCCGTTGACGCCCCCTGAGGGGATTGGTGTGAGATACCAATATGAGAAAAGAAGGAATTTGGGAGGACAATTCCCTTTAAGTAGAAAGTAACAACTTCCAAAAATGGAAAGTAATAAATTTTCCTATCCGAGAACAAAGAAGATCATTATTGTGGATTTAAAATTATCAAGGAACCTCAAACCCCGACAAGCCCACCCCGGTTTTGGTCGGTGTCCATATAAGCAGAGGCGCAGCGAGTGGACGGCAGTTGGGGTAGAAGAGACAGGCAAGTAGTTGGAGTTGGAAGTTGAGTCAGAGAGAAGTTAGTTGCAGTTGAGCTGTGAGCTCTGAGACCCGCCTCGCAGAAAGCTGACTGAGATCCACGCATCACGACCTCGACTTTTAACCAAGAACAATTTATTTTTGAAGAACGACTTAGACTCACACCACCAAAACAAGTTTTACGAATATCGCCTGAAGATACACCAAAAACCAGTTTCTTGAAAAAAAAAAAAAAAAAACAACTTAAGATGTTAAGACTCGCCTAACAAACACAAAGTGTCACGAATCCATATTAGCGGTTTGGGAGAAAGACGCAGTCCTGTATTCAGCAACCAGATATAAAATATTGTTATTCTTTTTTAACATATTTGAACTTTTCGAGTTGTTACTTTATTTTCTTTTACATATACTTGTGCGGTATTACCCTTGTTCAGACTCGACTTGCATTGCGGTTCGGTGACTGATTGATTTCGTCTACTTAAGATCAAATCACAACGTGGGTGAGTTAGACTAGAAATCAAAGCAGTTACTTCGGTAACCAGACGTTGGAGGCGAGCCGGGAACGACAAGGCTGATACCGAATCTAACCAGATTCCCATCTGAATCAGCAAAGGGTTAGAACGTTACGTTTGGTGCCGCGACCAATACCAAGTCACATTAGTCGTCGCAGGATAGACGGAGAGTGGGACAGAGAGGTCACGTGATGACGTCACAAATATATCTGTTAAGATGAGATGTCCGTTTTCTTTGCATTTTTCCCGTAATTTAAACGACAGTTTATCCATCGCACCCTGTATATAATGAAAGATTTGTGTTTTTGTATGTGTAGGAGTGTGGCCATATACCGAACAATTTTCTGTGTCTCTGCTTTACAAATTCGGCATCGAAATGATTAAACTGTTTAAAAAGAAAGATTTTTTATTATTATTATAAACGGCCGTTCATCCGAATCTAACTCTGGCGTCATTGTCTTTCCTTTCATATTTGCGTCCTCCATT